GTTTCCAAGTTAAAATCTTATGGTAGAAGGATTCTACCTTACAACGCCCTCTTTTTTTCTTTTTCAGAGAAGCGCTGAAAACTAACTGATAACATTAGTTTCATAGAGAGTAGAAAGTTACTTTACGTGGATCTGCAGATTCACATTTATGACTTTACTTCTTTTATTTTTCCTTTTTATTTATTTATTTATTTATTTCTTTAAAAGATCTTCGTTGATTATCCTGACACCTGCTGGTGAGGGCACAGTTGATTCTAGTCTACTTTTCCCTTCAACAACTTGCTCAAATCAAAGATTTTTAGGGGTATTTTCAGTGACAAGTGGTAATACATTAAGTTTAAGTATTTGTAGTACTTAAATTATTGCTGTATTACATAGGAAACCATGAGAAACATTTTAATAATTACTTCACATTGGCAGCCATTTGACTCTGTCTAGAAATGCATGTTTGCTTTGATTAAGCAAACAACATTACAAAAATGAAGAAATCATTTTAGAGGAATATTTATATAGTCTATAACCATAGAACATCGAAGGAAGATGCTACACATCTTCCTTAAAAATAATAATAGGAATGGCTTAGCTTTGGTTTTCTGCTTTTTAAAATAATAATGTTAATTTTCAACCTACTTAGCAAATAAAGAGTAAATGATTAACTATGATAGAAGCCATAACACTAAACACATATTTGCAAAATTTGCAAAAAAAACTGAGTTCTGAAGCCTGCACTGTTTCTTTGACAGAGATACAATGACCCTATTACATCATAATCTCACTCAAAGCTATTGCACCTGCAAGTGTGTGCAGTAAACAACAATTATCAGAATTACTTTTTTAGGCTTCAAGAAACTCTCAAAGGGGGCAAGTTTTTAAAAATTGTAGACAAATGACAACATATACATTTCATCCCATTGTGCAAAATCTTTCAAAAATGAAAAGTTTTACCCAATTAAAACTTTATCTTAAAATTACTAAAATTAATAGCTGGTACTACTAATTTAAAAGCTGTCAAGCTTATATTTTGTAATGGTATTGAGTAACCATGCTACTTTATTTTAGTCATGCATATCTTATTCCTTCCCTTTACATTGCTATAATTTTATGAGAAGAAAAAAATCACATGTATCTAGAGAGAAAAGAAAACTTTATTAAATATTTATTTAAAATACCCTAGATTTTGAATACATGATTTATATGAACATTGATGTCAATATATTTGAGAAAATTACATTTTTAATTTAGAAAAATGTTCAGAAGTACAATACATTTGCCTAGTTTTGAAGATCTTTGCAACTTCAAGATCAAAGAAGGAAAAATAGACCATCTCAATTTTTTCCTGATTTTTTAAATTATTGTAAGTCTTTTCCCAAAACCATATACGTTTAAACCAAATACATTTTAATTCTAAGGAAACATTTCAGAAAAATCAGAAAAACTTTTTCAGAACCAGAGGAAAAAATTGTGTGTTGTATCACCACAATGGCCAAAATTTTGCATTATTGCAAACTTTCACATGAGAATACTTTATTTTCACTTAATTCTTATTTAATTTGATATTTCAGAATTATTTTTACATGTTTTGCCTTGACTCTGAAGTTAGCATTTATTTTTAAAGTATAAAATTTAATGATCAGGTAAATTAGGCAATGAAGACATCAATATGTAATCATAATATTATAACAACATAAAAGAAACTCCTTATTTCTGTATAAATATAACTATACTAATCATAAAAGGTTAGTGTTGTTATCTGGAGTGAGACTATTCAGGTATTAATTTATTCTCATGTAGAATTAACTAAAAATCGCCATTGATTAAAAAAAGAAAATGCAAATGCCAATGATTCATAGTATTTAGGACATGTCTAGACATTTTTAGACGGTGCCATTTGCTTAAAGACTTCAGGCACAAACTGCAGGCACAGGGACAGATTGCATAAGATGTCACGTGCTTGCTGCAACTGTATGCATGTTATTGAATTTTTTAGAGCAACCCATACCATGAATAATTTAATAGTTAATAAAATATTCAATCTGACTGATGCATTGTTTTAATTTTAAAATAAAGACGACTCATAAAAGGAGTTACATATCCTTATCAAATCCCAGGCATTAATGCAAGTAAATTGCAACCCATACGTAGGGAAAACACCAATTTCTAAAAGACATGAGATTAATGATTGGGGGCGGGAAGGAGTGCAAGGAAAATTCTGTGTTAGCACTGGCTTCAATAAGTTTGTCCGAAGTTTAATTGTTTGGAGCTGTCACGGAAGCTGTACTCTGCCTTCTGCAGAGGTGAGGGGGAAAAAAATTAGAGAGGTGCAAGTTTTAACAGAAAGGGCTAATGCAAAATGGTCTGTTTCTTTTTCCTAAAGCCTTTCCCCTGTCCTCACAGGCTAGCTGGGGGGGGGGAAAGAGAGAAATCTCCTGAAGAATATGGAGTATCCAGCTTCCCGAGCATCGTCTAAGAGAATCAGGATGGAGAGTCCAGGCAACATCTCCATGGTTGGCTTGTCTGGCGAAGTAAGCTGCGCCCTCGGCGCAGGTATCTTCAGGAGACAGGGCTCCTGGCTGCAGCGAGCCGGGACTCGCCGCGCCCCAGGGCTCCGGCAATCAGACCCAGCCAGGCAAGCGCGGCCACATAGGCTAGACGCACTATCTTCTCCTCCATCCCGCGCCGCCCTCCACCTCGGAGCGGGGACGTATGGTGGTGGCGGTGACACAATGCGTGTGAGTGGATGAGTGTGTTTTCGTATTTGGGGTGGAAACGTAGGCGGGGAAGAGAAGGAGGAGAGGGGAGTGCCTGCAGTCCTTCCCCCTTCCCTTCCTGCTAAGAGATCAAAGTGCAGAGGAAATCCAGACGGGAAATGAGAGAAAGGAAAAACAGCAGCCGTGGAAGCACTCTCTTTTTCATATCGCTGGATACTCGGTCGAGCAACTACTGGAACCATTACCATTTCTTAACCTTTAGTGGAGGGGCTGCCTCTGCCTGATAACTGGAAGGGCACTTTGTAAACGCAGGCGAGGCACACACCTACACACACGCTTACACGCTGGGGGAAAATAACCACATTCTGGGGGACGGAGGGAGGCCCAGGCAAGTCGCGGCCATGGATCTCTACTGCCAGAGCTGCGAGGGCATCTGGCCAGCAACTCCCGGCTTCTTGGGCAAACTGTCGCCCAAGAGTCCACAATTTGCTTGTGAGTCAAACAGATGGATAGGTGCATGGATGGATGGTGCAGAATATTCATACTCTATCTAATCTCAAGTGGATTGGAGTCGACGCATTTTTAAATCCATCTACCTTTTTTATAGGCACAGCATTTAAAACCCTGTAGTTCACTCAGCTCTCCACTTGAAGCTGTCTGCAGAGGATTCTATTACCCGCGGATCCCTCATAAGGGGCCGCCCGCATCTGTGAGCGCAGGAGTGGCACAGCTCCCCCACGCACAGCTCCCACTCGCCTCCCCACACACCCTGCCTCCCCCGCTGCCCTTTTCCGGCGACAACTTCAGCCCTGGCCGGCGGCGAGACCCGGGTCAGGACAAGGGTTTGTATGGACAAGCTGCACCTCGCAGGGGACCTGGAAGTCGCCTAAACTACCCAGCAGAACACTCGTCGAAGTCCTGCGTTTTCTTTTAAATGCTTTTTTTCTTTTTAATTTTATTTTATTTTTATTTTTCTGTTTTTATTTTTTCGTGCAATTCACAGAAGGCATCAATCACTCTACAAGCTCTTACAACTTTTCCGCTCCTGGGCGGGGACGCGAGGGGTGGCTTGCCCCGCACTATTCCCCATTACTAAGAGTTAACACTGGTACCCGGATGGGGTGCGCAGCTAAGCTCCAGGCACCTGGGGTCAGAATAGGAGGGGCGGGTTCCTGGGGTTTGCTGTAATCGATGCTGCGCGTCTGGGATGGGGAGGCAGGAGAAAGCCGAAGTGACCGGTCAGACTCCTCTCCACCTCACCCGCGGCCAAAAAGCCCAGCGCCCGGTCTGGGTTTGCGAACGGCTCAGCCCGGGCCCTGCGCCAGAGCACCGCACCCGGGGGCGGACGGCCCTGCAGCTCCCCAGCCTTTTCCCGCATCAAGTAGCTGACGCCCGGGCTCACTGGCTTCCCCCACTCCCGCCCCCACGAAAGCCCTGCCCGGCGTCTGCAGTCAACATCGCCCGCACTGCCTAGGGAGGGTTTGCGCCGAGACCCAGTGGCCGAGTGAGCCACGGAGTAGCTGGTTCCTGCGGACGTTGTCCTCTACCGCTCCCCACCGTCCTCCTCTTTCCTGTATCTCACCCGGTAACCCGCACCCTTCTCCCCGCTCGGCTCCGCGCACTCTGCTCAGACTTTGCAAGCACTTTCTCGGGGCACCCAGGACTCGACGCCTCCTCCGCGCCGCCAGCGGCGCTCGCCACCCTTGGCACGCCCGAGGGACCGCCTCCGGCCCCCAGCGCGGCGTTTCCCAGGGGACTCCCAGCCCATCCCTCACCCAGCGGCCCGGGTCCCGACGCCTCACCTTTGCCGAACTGGGGGACACAGAGGCTGACCCCGACCAAGAGCCAGACGGCTACCAAGCACTTCATATTCCGTCTCCCGGACGTGACCCCGGCTGGTCAGAGGTCGTCGCGGAGGGCAGTGTAGCCGAGGTGGCACCGCAGGGCAGCAGCAGACTCCGCCCCTACTAAAGAATGCCAGAAGACGTTGTCTTTCCGCAGCGCTTTCTTAAACAAATTCTTGGAGAGGGCGAGAGTGGTGACTGAAGAGAGGAACCTTTCCTCCCCTTTTGCCTGCGCTCTGGCGCGCGGAGGTGGGTGAGCTGCGAGGAGCTGCCGGCGGGCTCAGTCCTCTGCTGCGGGTGGGTCCCGGCAGAGGCGCTGCGGGCGGGGCCCGGGCTCCCGCGACCGCCCCGGGTCTCCTGCGCGGGCAGGCAGACCCACTGGCAGACGGGCGGACGGGGCGCTCGGCTCTAGCTGTTCTCCGCGCGGCGGCTGCGGGGCTTCTGACTTGGAGAACAATGAAGCGTGAGCTGGAGGGAAGCGAGCGGGCCGCCGGGAGCGCACTGTGTACAAACAGAGGCGGCGTGCGTGTGAGTCTGAGCCTGGCAGGCGCGCTCCCCACTCCCCCGGCGTCCGCCCGCCCTCCGCCCGCCCTCTTATTCACTGCCCGGGTTTCCCCCTCCTCTCTCTCTCTTTTGCTCTCTCTCCCTGTTTTCTCCCTCCTCCCCTCCTCTTTCAGCTCCTTATGCTGTAAGAGAGAGGGAGACAACTGCAGCCACACCCTAGCACCTAGCACCTGCCACCACCTCTGAAGTTCCTGCATTGCCTGTACCTTCTCCACAAGTGCTGGAGACTGTGGGGTTAAGAGCTGCACCCTTGCTGCCGAGAGTCCCTTGGATGATTCCAGCATTGACTTTATAATTAACCACGTTAAGGATTCCCTTGAACTTCCTTTCTCAGTATAACCAGGAAAAGAAGTTAAGAGATTTTGAAAAGTGGCTCTTGGGGCACAAAACTGTATGAGAGACAGAACCCTGCAAAGTGAATTGCCCCGTATTTCTTAGGAAAGGCAACGTAGTCATCAACAAGACTCTAATCAGCTAAGACAGGGCTGCTCTGCTGTTCTGTCTACATTTTAGTTAGCTCCAGGGCTGGGAAGAGAGGGTTGTGGGCTCATCTGTTCACGAGGGCAAAAGGGTGGTAGTGAGTAGGAGACATACATCTCGTTAGGCAGGACATCTGTTTCAGAGAAGAAGTGGGGCGAGTTTGGGAACTGTGCAAGAACATAAAAGGCAGGGACAGACTCTTGAAGCATCAATAAGGTGGATCAAATTTTCTTTCTATCCGCCAAAATAAATGGACTGGTTTTTGCAATGAAAGTGATTGAACCAAAAATACAGCTCATGGCTTACAATTGTGCTTTCTTCTCTGTTTTTTGGTTAGAAAGATTGCTTACTGTACATGGATCCAATTCCAGCAGGTACAGGTACCAAAATGAAACAGGGCTTTTTTTTTTTTTTTTTTTTTTTTTTTTTTTTTTGGCTCCTAGAGAGGGAGGTAGGGAGAGAGACAGAAACACAGAGCTAGAGAAATTGAAAGAGAAACATTCTGGAAGGCAAAGAGTTGAAAGGTGAATCTACTAAGAAAAGAATAATAGAGTGCAATTAGCCATGGAACTATATCTCCATTTGCTTCTTTGAGCCCTTTAAACTTCGATTTCTACCTTCCTTTTGAAATTTTAAGTGAAATGAAGAATGCAAGGTGAATGGAACCGTAATGCTGAATAGTGCTAGGGAGGGTTTAAGGTATTGTATCACTGGCAAACAAACAACGAGAGAAAAGGAAGGAAGGAAGGAAGGAAGAAAGAAAGAAAGAAAGAAAGGAAGGAAGGAAGGAAGGAAGGAAGGAAGGAAGGAAGGAAGGAAGGAAGGAAGGAAAGAAAGGGAAGAAAAAGAAAACACCTTTCAGAACAGTGTTTGTTCAGATCTCACGATTGGTGGGAGGGTTAAAACACATTTAAAAAAAAAACTCAACTTGCTAAGAGAATGAGAGAGATTCATTTATTTACTGTCTATTTATGTGCCTAAAGCCACAGATGTTAGAATAAGACAGTATTGTCCAGAGTTGTAGCCAAATCGTTTCAAGGAATCAAATTCTAACTTTCTGATGCATCATCATTACTTCCTTTTCAAAGTATGTTTTCAGTCACCCTGTGGCATGTTCATCCTAAAGTACACTTTAACTTTTGAAATGAGATGTCTGATATTAGTTTTAGGTATTATTGGTAAAGGATAGTACTAAATCCTAAAAATGTAAAGTTGGAAACCAGTCTCTCTGTAATGAGATATTTAAGGAAAAAAAAGGAGTGTGTTAAGAATTTTGTGTAGTTTTCTATTTTATCCCGTTTATTTCCACTTTTTTGATAGTATTTGACCTTAATGAGCATTTTAAGAAGTTAAATTATTTTGCCAACAGTGTATGTTTCTAAACATGTATCTTTCTTTTAATCTAAAGAAGGGTTTTTAAAAACTCTAGTGGGCATAAAAGTACATTACAATGCGCATTCTATGCCCAAATACTTGGTGCGGGGACAGTAGATGACATTCTGTATTACCCAATAGACAACTTATGAAAGATGTTGCCAGTTTTATATCTCTACTCAATCAAAAATTGATACATAGTCTTAAATCCGTAGCTCCATATTCATAATCATCCCCTCTTTTTTTAACCACTTATTGATAATGATCATCTACCAATAAGCCTTTCATTTTGAAGATTCTAGGCACTTTACCTAATTTACCTTGATAGGATTCATTTCACTCTTACTGCACTCACACATAGCCTGTTCAGAAGTGGAATATAAGAGATGTTAAAAGACAGCAGAAATTGAATTATTTAAAATAAAATAAAATTTAAAAAGTAAAAGGATGAAACTCTATTGTGAATCTTTTACCTCACATAAAGTGCTAAGGGACCTTTGCTAATCACTGTGATCCAGCCTACAGTTTTATAGCTTCTCCTAATAGGAGCCGAAAATGAATCTGTACATCCCTCAAAGACAGTGCTTCTCAAGTTATTTTCTGCAGGCCTCCTTTTCCCTAAGATGTTAATAGGCTTCTGGGGGGAAAAAAAGCCATGGTAAAATAATTTGGGGAGACATTGCATATCAAAGCAGACTCTTAGAGATTTGTGGTGAATGTTAGTATATTAAATACTTTGAAAGGTCCTGTGGTTAAAATTTTTTTTCAAAAATATTTAATCCAGCATTTTGCAGACTTTCCTTTTTGTACTATGACAAACTTTTTCTTAGAACACCTGTTACCATACTTAATATTTAGTGCTGCAACGGAAATAACTTGAAAATGATGCTTTAAAACAAAGCAGAATAAAGTAGCAGCAAAACGAAAAAGAGACTATAAAAAGTTCACTGGGTTTTGTTATGGGCTGAATGTTCCTGCACAACTCCCTTCCCTGCCCCCAAATTCATTTGTTGAGGTCTAAGAACCTACTGTGGTATGTTTAGATGTAGAGCCTTTGGGAGGCAATAGGGCCATAAGAAGAGCCCTCATGAATGGGATTAGTTCCCTCATAAGATGAGACACCAAAGAGGTGATCTTTCTCTGCCCTCTGCTACATGAAGACACAGTAAGAAGACAGCTATGAACCAAGAAGCAGGCCCTTACCAGACACCAGATCTGCTGGTACATTGATCTTGGACTTCTCAGCCTGCCTCCAGAACTGTGAGAAATAAATATTTATTGTTGAAGACACCCAGTCTATAGTAATTTGTTATAGCAGCTGAAATTAACTAAGACAATTTTTAAAAAATTAATCTCGTTGACTATCAATTTGGATTCTGGAGCATACCTGGATTCAGGTATACATTGGATTCAGGGCATATCTGAACTGGACTATAGTCTCTATCATTCTAACTCCTTTAACTAAATTAAAGTCTGTTAAGCACCAAACCTCAGTATTCTCATCTGTAAAATGAAGGTAATAATACTGTCTAACTCATAGTGGTAGGTTGTGGTGATACACAAAAGGGCCTAGTCCAGCACTGGACACATAGTAGTGATGATGAAAGATAATGATACTGATAAATAAGAAGACAATAGTAATATACATAACTCCAAAAGAATTTTTCTTAATACCTGATCCTCTTCACTCCCCATCTCCCATCCCCATTAAATTACCTAGAGGTTTTAGTCCATCTTTCAGTTTGTCAAGCAACGAATAACACTAAATGTAGTCTTTTTTATTATCTTGTAATAATGGGATTGTTTATTATTTTGCATTTTAAAACTTTGTTTTGAATTTCGAAAACTTTTTATTTAATATCTAAAATGTCCTTCTACTAAAATTTTGCCCTCAGCCTCTGAGACTCAAAGCAGAAAATCCAGCCAAGACCACCTCAACTTCTGACCTACGAAACTGGGAGTTAATAATTGGTGTTGTTTTAAACTCCTAAGTTTGTGGTAGTTTGTGATGAAGACTAATATAGTTGGTTACTATTGTTATTCCAATTTCAGGGAGAAGGAATAAGTCATGGAGCGGTTAGCTTAATTGTCCATCCTCTTAAGTTAGTAAGTATTGGAGTCAATAAGTGAATCTAAACAGCATGAATCAAAAGCCCACTGCATTCTTCTGCCAACAATTATGAAGGGTCAACTGTATGCTAAGCTCTAAGGCATTTTTACATATATTGCTTTACTAAATAAGTTACCTCAACAACCTTTATGAGATAAATATTATTATTTTCATTTGACTGCTGAGGAAACCAAGAATCAAAACCTTTAAGTACATTGCCCAGGATCAAGTTGGCAGTGAGGAATGGAGCCAAGAACTAGTATCAGAGCCCTGCTCTGGTTCCAGGAGTGATTTTCTTTTTTTTTTTTTTTTTTTTTTTTTTTTTTTTTGAGACGGAGTCTCGCTCTGTCGCCCAGGCTGGAGTGCAGTGGCCGGATCTCAGCTCACTGCAAGCTCCGCCTCCCGGGTTCGGGCCATTCTCCTGCCTCAGCCTCCTGAGTAGCTGGGACTACAGGCGCCCGCCACCTCGCCCGGCTAGTTTTTTGTATTTTTTAGTAGAGACGGGGTTTCACCGTGTTAGCCAGGATAGTCTCGATCTTCTGACCTAGTGATCCACCCGTCTCGGCCTCCCAAAGTACTGGGATTACAGGCTTGAGCCACCGCGCCCGGCCCAGGAATGATTTTCATAGCCATTGTGTTAAAATGCCTGTTTAGACAGTGGTCTAACTTACTTATTTATTGACATTTTCAACTTCAGTGGTTACAATTATAATTGTCATTTTTTAGTACAGTTTGCATTTCTCCCTGATCTTCTTGATGCATCATTTTAGAATATACATTGCTGAAATGTAGAATTTCAAGCACATTTTAAATTCTCTACAATATTTGCATAACTCATAACACTTTTCTTCATTGCTCCCACAAGCACCAAGATAATTCTTTCCTCCAACCCTCTGCTCATGCTGTTATCCCCACCTGAAATGCCCTCTTACAAATCCTACTAGCTGAATTCTTGTTTCCATTTAAGACCTCCCCGAATTATTCTAGCACCAGAGAACCA